CCCTCGCAGCATCAATCATAAAATCCAGCATCATGCGACAAATCACGCGAACGTGCCAGATGCTGGTGCGATTTATGACCATATCCCCTGAACGTGTTCGGTGTAATTCACCATGCCGAGACCGTCTTGGAAGCATGTCTTCGATGTTGTAGTGTGGAGCGGCCGTGGCATTGTATGGCTGTCGCGTCGTATTGGGGTGGAGGGCCGTGGAATTTTGTAAAGGGCTCATTCGGTGCCTCTCGGGATCCTGTTGGGACCTTTTCGGACACCTCCTTGAGCGTTTCGGAGGGCCCCATCTACTTGAGTGTGTGGGGCCGTCTTGGGCCCCATAACTCTCCAGAGCTCTCCCAGAGGAGCTTGGTATAACCACCTTGGACCTGTACAGTAGGGTCGTCGGACCGTCCTGGAGCCCTTTGGGGTCGGCGTTGGGCAGTATTTGGAGAGTTGCGTTCGGCCCGTTTGGAGCCGTGGGCCCCCGCTGGGGGCTCTTGGGCCATTCTTATTCAAGACGCTTCGCGTTCACCGCTCGCCCATTCCAGTTCTCGCCGGACGAGGCGAAGACGGCTCCATGACGGGATACACATAGGCAGGAATTCATACACGTCGTGTGTTTTGTTGTTTTTGTCCCGCGTTCTCTTTTCCTATTATATCGCCTACTATGCTCAGGCATGCCTCTTGGTTGTTCGACAGTAGGTTTGTCGTACTTGCTGCGGCTGGTGTTGCTGCTGGTGTTGCTGTTGTCGCTCCTGCTGGTGGTACGGTGCAGTGCGGGTGCCGCTGCTGCTGTTGGTCCTACTTCTGCTGCTGCTGGCGCTGCTGGCGCTGGTGCTGGTGGTGCCGGCATTAGTGCTGCTGCTGCTTGTGGTGCCGCTGCTGTTGTCAGTGGTGGTGGTGGTGCTGCTGCTGCTGCTGGTGGCGCTGGTCGCGGTGGTGGTGCTGCCGCTGCTGGTGGTGCTTCTGCTGTTGACGTTGCTCTCTGGGGGGCCTGTCGAGGTGCTGCTGAGGCTCCGTCGCTGACCTGTTGGGGCTCCTCTGAATGGTTCGGGGTCCTCTTGGTGCTCTTTCGGGAAGCCTGGGGGTCTTTGAGCTCTCTTGGGGCTCTCTTGGGGGCCCTTTGGAGCCTCGGAGGAGGAGCTCTTGGGGCCTCCTTGGAGGCCATCGGTCGCACGAGGGGCGGGGTCCCCGATTGACGCCCTCTCCTCTGGAGCCCTCAAAGTGGCCTTTTGAAGCCCTCCTGGGCCGATGTTTGGCCGCCCTTGGGCGTTATTGGAGCCGTCTTGAGGGCTCTTTGGGCTCCTCTTGAGCTTCCCGCATGCTGCTGAGGTCTTGTTGGTCCGCAGCCGCGCGGCTCAGCATGCGGAGCCGAGCGCAAGGGCTTCCACGCAGGCGGGCGGGGTGGTCTTGGGCGGGCTGCGCCGGGGGGTGAGACTGTAGACGGACATTTTTTGAAGGTCTCGCCTATGGGCGAGGCTTGCGACTCGGTCGGCAGAACGGTGCGGCGTCATGTCGACGGGTCGCACGATCTGCTGGCGCCATGGCTCGAAAACGTCTTCCTCCCGCAGTCGTTGTCGTCGATCTCGGTCTAGACATCCTCTGCATTGAGGGCTCTGTGCCCCCCCTGACGACGGCGAGGCGGGGGAGCGGGGCAAGACAGCAATAGGTCCGCATCGGGTGTCACGCGCGCCCGATGTCTGAGAGGCGTGAGTAGGCGCGCAGCGTTTTGTGTCGGTGTGCGGGTGTCAGCAGGTGTCAGTGGCGGCATGCTCCCGTGGTGGGCTGGTGTCATGCGGTGGCGTGGCATTCCCGTAGTTCTGTCGCGCTTGTGCAGTCGACTGATCTGATGGTAGGGAAGGCGGCAGGCTCCCGTGGTGGGCTTGTGTCATACGGTGGCGTGGCAGTCTCGTGGTTTTGTCGCGCTTGCGCAGTCGATTGATCCGATGGCAGGGAAGGTGGCTCTTGGAGTGGGTTCTCCAATGGCTGACCAGATGACTGGCCCGAGGTGTGCCGTGGTAGATGTCTGGGTGCTTGTCCCGACGGTTGCCCAGATTCTTTCCCGTTGCTAGTCTCGGCGGTTGCCCGAGCGGTTGGTTGCCCCGACGGTTGCCCTGGCGGTGATCCGGCCGGCAAGGCGCCAAGAAGGGCCGAAGAGGAACCCGAAAAGGGACCAAAAAGAGGCTAAGAAGGCCCCGAGGCGATCTGGTGGAAGCCCAGGGCGGCTCAAGCGACAGCACTTCCGCGTTGGGTCGCAACCGCGTCCGTCTTGCAGTAAAAACTGGGCGGGGTCTGACCTGGTTTGGGGTCCGTTCTGCGGCCCAACATGGGCCGCGCAGCGTCCAAAATGGACCCCGGAACGCGCCCAAAAACGGCGAACAAAAGGGAGTGATGAAAAATGACGCACGCGAGCCCGGAAGTCAACTGAAAGCAGCGTCCTGGGCAGCCCCGGGGAAGCCGAATCAGGCCAAAACCGCAGTATTTGCCATTTGTTTGACATCCCCACGTGTCGGCGAGAATGAGCCAAAGAGGCGCTGTCGAGGGCTCCGGGAGCGGATATTGGAGGCCAAGAAGGGGTCCCGACGGGGCCGAACTGGAGCCCACAGGCGCCCCGGCGGCGTCTTCAGAACGATACCAAGATCGAGCTTGTCTTGGACGCCGTCGTGGAGCCGTTTTGGGAACCGAAAAAGGGCATTGCCGCAGCCGGGCGGCGGAATGCCGGAGGCCTCTGGGGGGGGGGGAAAAGGGGGGGGGCTAAAGCTTTGTAATCAAATCCCACACGCTCCTTAGCCCGGTGGGCGGGCGGACTCAAGTGGCTTACGCCATTCCGCCGACCCCCTAGAAGGAGAGAGTGCTCGCGACGATTTGGGAAGTTTTCGAGTAGGTCAGTAGTGTCTTGGATGCATATGATGGGCTCGTGGGATGCCTCTCTGGGGCTCCTCTGAGGTCGTTCAAGGGGTCGTTGTGGCCCGTCGTGAGGGCATCCTGCCCCGTCTAGTAGAATGCATCTAGGGTGTCTGAGAGGTGGGGCTGGAAATGGAGGCCTGGAGGCGCGGGAGTAGTGCTGGCGAGTTGCCGGACACCCTTGCCCTTGCCCTCTGGGGCTCTTCTTTAACGAGGATGTTGGACCTCAGAGAAGGGGGACACGCTCGTAGAAAGCCATCAAGGGGGACTTTGCGAGCCAACCCCGTCACGCGTGGCACTTGGCATCCCCAGGATCTTGAAGGCGGCTGTTTTGCACGGCTTCTGAGGGCCCTGTTGGAGGCTTGGGAAGGGCCTGAGCGCTTCCGGGGGCCAGTTGGGGCTCTATTGGGGGCTTCTTGGGGGACGTTCGGGGCCGCTTGGATGCATGTCGGGGTTATTGGTCGTCCTCAAAGCCCCTCTTGCTCGGCATCTCGGGCCGACTTGGGAGGCCTCTGCGGCCGTCTTGAGGGATTCTGGGGCCGCGTCCAGGATCCCAGGGGTGTTTTTTGCTGACGTGGACTCGTTTGGGAAGTCTCCGGGGATGGTTTGGAGGTTTCGGGGGCATGAAGAGGCGAGAACTCGAAATTCAGCAACAAAAACATAGGAAACATGTTTTTGTTGCCTCCGGACCCGCTGCTGGGGGTTCTCTTAGAGCCGTGGTGTGGCGTGCTTGGAGCATTTTAGGGGGTCCTAAGACCATCTTGAGTGCTCTGGAGGGTGCTCGGATGCGTCGGCGCCTTTCTGAAGCAGGCATCTTGTGCAGCGTGGATGCGGCGGAGGCTGGATTTGACTCCGAGAGCGCGGGAGAAGCGGCGGCGAGTTCCCGTACCCCCCCTTTCCCCCCCCCCCCCCCCCTCAAACTAGATTTTGAACCCCAGGGGAGGGGGAAGTAGAGGGGGACAGCCAATCATCCCATACGTCTCTTCATCCCCCATCAAGCGGGGGTCGGCAGATTGAGGCTCTCGGGCGGTATCCTATGTCCTTCATGCGTTGACCGGACAGGGCTTTGCTGGAGGGACCATTCAGCACCGTTCGTGGGGGGTTTTGGAGTCTCTCGGGGTGTCTTGGGAGCATCATGGTGCCTTTGTTGTCGTCGAGCTGTCTTGGAGGTCGTGGGGCCCCGAGGCAGCTGTCTTGGGCCTCGGGCGTTTTTGGTACGCCCCGAGATTGCAGTAGGACGTGGAGATCGCCAGAGAGCGAACGTACGGTGGGTCGACACGGGGTTGCGATTGAGGGGGCTGCTGTCCAAGAGAATTGCCACAGGATCCCCAGGCATTTTGGCGCCTGCACGTGCCGAGTGCACGGTGCCGCGTGCATGATTGTATGTAGGGATGCGGTCTTGGTTAGTAGTCAACCAGCGTTGGCTACAGACAGCAATTGAGCCAGCAGGGACACATGAATGTAGACATGCAAGCTCAAGCAAGCAGGGAAATACACCGAAAGAGAGTATCAGCGGTGCCAAGCAAGCGAGCAGACGCGCCGTGTGAACAAACGCAAACGTGTGGATACCAGCAATCAGTGGCAAGCAACCAACATCTACCTCGTGGCTCCATGGATGCATTATGACATTGCCACTTCGCTTGTTTCAGGTGTGCAGCAAATTGCTACCCACGTAGATCCCTATGGACCGCGCGCGCTCGTTTCATGCCCACCTGCACTATATACACCTCACACCTTGCCTTAGCTGACTTCACAAGGCCGCCTCCTGATCTGGATCACCGCCTCAGCATGGCTGTACGACGATACACATGAAGAATCAATGCAGAGCGTGCGGGACGCCATTCTAACCGTATCGTTGTGCTCTTTCGCACGGATCGGCATGCAGAGCCGCAGACACGAGTCTGAGACCATGGGAGAAAGACGAGGGGGTAAAACATGGGTAGTGTTTGCAGCTCGCAGGGGCCCCCATCGGATGCTTTGTCGAATTTTCACTGTGTTGTGGCCCCGGTGCCACCCCGCCTCCCCGCGGCTTCCCTCCGCCCTCCCAGCCCCATTCCCCACCGCCTTGCCCTGCCCCCCCGAGTCGCGTCCGTGCGCGCCGCGAGGCCGCCGCTGGCAGGGAGCCACGCCTGGACGCGGGTCGACAGCGGACGGCGCGGGGATCGGTGGCGTTCCGCACCACGCACCGGCGGTGTCTGCTACAGGGGACACCTCAGGACACAGAAGGTGCTCCTTTCTTCACTGATGGGCCGATTTCCCACCACCACTACCATAGATAGGAGAGGGAGGAGGAGGAGGACGAGGACAAGGACGGGGGGGAGGAGGAGGAGGAGGAGGAGAAAGAGACAGAGACAGGGACAGAGGAGGATGACCTGCCCATCCTCCCTTCTCCCCCGTTCTACCTCATTTGAGGCATTGAGAAGAAGGCCCTGCCTTCGAGCATCACCCGTCTGGGGGCCCTCTCGGGCCCCGAAAAGTCACGCGAGAAGATGCGCCAGACCCTTGGGGGCACGCGAGGAGCCTCAATAGATTTGGCAAGTTGGGGTCCTTGCCCTTTTAAAGAATCCTCAGGAGTGAGGAGTGAGGCTCGGAGGATTAGGCAAAGGACCTGAGGACACGCCCACTCCGTGCCCAAGGGCATAGTTGCGGATTGTGACAAGACTTGAGACCCAGCGCGCACAGCTTAATTTTCAAAGTATGCGGCAAGGTGGCACAGCAGGCGAGTTTTTCGCACACGGCAGGATACGGATGTGCCTTCGATTGTAGACCAGGGCGGCGAAGCTTCACATCAGTTGGTTCTGATAACTCTGAAGAGCGGAGGCGCCAAATGGCACGGCGCAGCATCTGATGAGCCGCTGCGCATTTGCAGTGAGTCTTGGGGGACGAGGGTGTTGCGGGGCGAAAGGTCAAGAGCGAGCAACACGCAATACGGGGCTCTCAGTAAGGATGAGCAACTTTCCAAGTTTACCCTGCCATCCTTCCCCTTCGGCCCATCTTTTGTCGCTTTCGCTGGCCGCGCCCCGCCCGCAAAGTGTCGACATTTGCCTTCCGAGGCCCTTGCATCCTTATCGCGCGTCCTCATTATGCGGGTTGACTGTGCTCTTCGTCTTGGATGCGGTCTGACGATCTGCTCGATGCGTGGCGGGGCTTCGAGGGCGCAGGACGCCCAGGATGGCCCAGCAGGGTCCAGGAGGTTTGCCCCCGGGACGGCCTCGTGAGGGCATGCCGCAGCGGCCCGCGGCACCAGCCCTCGAGGAGGGGGAGGAGGAGGAGGAGGAGGAGGATACGATACGATACGATACGAAAGCATTCCGATAGCCTGGAGTCTGCCTTGCCCCGCCGTCGCTATCTATGCAAGCCGTTAAAGCTTTACCAAAACATTCCGCCTCCAGGGAACCCGGCTGGCGAGAACATCGCTCGGGCCCTAGGGGCACCCAAAAAGCACAGCAGTGCCGACAGGGGCCCCCGTCGAGCACCTCCAGATACGTACATATGGATTCACGCGCCACCGGCCAACGCCCGGCAGGGCGGACGACATGGATGGATACGAAAATGGGTTACTCCGTATCCCTGATCTGCTCGGCTCGGCCGGCCGAGTAAACGTCACCGCCGCACTGCCGCGACCGTTTAGATTGCCACCTAAGTTGCGTCAGACCGGTGTTTTTCTACGCCCGACCCCTGCCCTGCCGACGACCCCCTTTAAAGCCGAGGGCAGGTCGTGGAGTCGCTTTGCCTTTTCCCTTCCCACACGCCTCCCCGCCCCCCCGCCCCTTACGCTGCTCCTCCCCCGGCGGGCTCGCAATATGTACAAAAGCGTCAGCCGCCCACTCGGGAGGAGGCACGAACTGGCCCGAAGCCACAAGCCCTCGCAAGCGCGCGCTGCTACTCATTTGCCCAGGCGCTCGAGCAATCGCCCAGCTTCCCGCTCGAGAGAGCCCCGCGGCGCGGGGCCGATCACCCTTTCCGCCCCGACCTCGGCCAGGGCCGCGACCAGCAGCTCGTGTACCTCCAGGGCCTTCGGAACGCCCTTGTCGATGTGAACTTGCAAGCGCACCTTGCCTTCCATTTTCTTCGAGACCGTCCCTTTGGGCTTCCGGACGCGGAAGTACGGCACCATCTCTGCGATCTCCTCGCGGCTGGACCCCTTGAAGACCTCCCTCCACACCTTCTCTGCCTTCTCCTTGTACTGCTCCCCGACGTTCTGGCGCATGTTCAGAAAGACTGCCATGAGCACCACCAGGAACGGCGGGCCGAGCTGAGACATGTCGACCTGCGGGTCCGACTCCTTCTGCTCGCGCAGCGCCTCCACCTGCTCGTGGTAGTGCTTCCCCGCCGCAATCGCCGCCAGCGCGATCCAGCATTGCTCTGGGAGGATGAAGGTGTGAAACGTCGATGCCGTGAGGTCGGCGAGCTCCCGCGCGTTCATGAGCACGAGGCGCCCGAGTATGAGCACGAGCGCCATGAGGGTGTCCTTGTTGCCCTTCTGGCTCCCCTTGGCCAGCTTGCTCGCTTCGGACGCGAGAGCCTTGGCCGACCCTTGGTCTGCGGCGGACGCCTTGCGCTTGGGGCGCATGGGCGCTGACCACTCGGGGAGTTCCACGTCGTCTCCGGCCAGGTCCACCAGCATCGACATGCTGCCGTCCAGGGCCGAGCTGCTGAAGCCGCGGTGTAAAAGGAAGATGCGTACTCAGATGGTCAGTGAAGGCTGAAAGGTCGCCGAACTCTGAGCCGCAAATTTGACAGCACATGGACGCCGGAATCTGCAAGCTATTCAAAGAAGAGGCCTTATCCACCAAGCAACGCTGATGCTGGAGAGCCCCCGAAAGATGATGAATCGCAGCCAATCTCGTGGAAAATATCTGACGGCAGGCCACGCACTGGTTCGTGACTGTCACCGCTGCTGAAAATGTCTTGACTTTATGGGCCGATCGCAAATGATTAAGAAGACCCCGTCTATCTGCGAAAGCTGCGTCGCATGCTCCCTGAGAGTCGCACCAGCTACAAACGTGGCATCGTTCTGTCAAGAGGGCGTTAGACTCAGCCCTCGCAGCTTCCTCTCGGCAATCCCACGGTGGAACCTCCACCGTAGTCGCGGCCCGACGTAGGATGCCCACGTCGATTCTCGAAAAGGCCTGGGCGACCTCGCACTCGAAAAAAGCAGCGATCGACTCGTTGACCGACCCCCACAAGACCGCCGCCTCCTCCGAGCACTGGGCCAACACCACAATATCCTCCTGGGCCCTCAGAGCCCACGGGTTGGCCCCAGGAACAACCCGGCCCCCCTCGTCGAACACAGCCTGGTCGAAACTGAATTTGCCGAAGATTGCCCCCACTACTTGCCGATGCTGCTCGGGTCGTCGGAAAATCTCTTGCAGCCAACGCAGGCGACGAACCCGGAGTTCCACCCCAGTAGGTGGGATTCCCCACCATTCCAAAACTGCCTGGGACGACAAGCACCGGATACCCCTTTCAGTCTCCCATGCTGCCGCCCCGCGCATCGCACGACGGCAGAGCCCAGCCAGAGCAAGGTCCATGCGTTTCGTTTGTGCCGGGCTCGGGAGAAAGCACTCACCTGCACTAAGGAGTCCATTTGCAACTCGGCATACCATAAGACATTTTTTCCATCTGAAGGGGACGTTGGGCGCAGACCAAAACTTCCCCATCATGAAATAAGACTGCTTCATCGCCGCTATTCTTTTGACGAGCTCCCCCGAAAACGACTGGCTAGCAGAAAGCACAGGCCCCAGGTACCGAACGTGTTCAGCAGCACTAATGTTATATTTCTTCAGCTCGTTTGCTAGCCTCCGCTTAGCCCTCCCTCCCACAGATAGAATAGCTTCTTGCTTGCTGATGTTCCTCCGGTACCCCGCACCCGCTAGTTCTCGATCTAGTATTTGGTCACATAGCTGCACTTTGCGCTCTACGTCCTTGACTGTCCAGCCCTTGTTCAAAACTACCTTTTTCTTCAGATCGTCAGCGAACTTGAACAGCCCCAGGTAAACTTTAGTAGGGGACACGAAGGGAACCTCTGCCTCAAGCAATGCATCATCCTCGTCAGACGCACGGTACTCCGCTATCCAAGCGTCCACTGGGACGCGGAACGCCTCGAGGAAGGTGTGGACGGCAAATGGGTCGCCCATGAATGCGCCACACGAGTTTTTAATCAGAAGCTGCCCCTCCGGCGTGGGCAACAAACACGACGACACTCGATACCTCTGAACCCCCAGACCGTGATGGAAGTCTCCCGTGTAGCACCTCGTGGCACGATCGAGCGCCCTCCACGAAGTCGAAGCGAATGCGTTTGTCATGTCTTTCAAAAGATCGATCCAGTCAAAACCAGCTTGGCGGAGTCTCCACCCCGTGCACATTGATGAAACGATCGCATCTTCACGACGTCTGCGTCTCAAGAAACCATGGTCACACTCGGACGGACGAGGTCGGGACCCTGGGTCCTCCAGGGATGCCACAAAACACTTTCCGAGGGGATCAAGACCATGAACAACTCTTCTACCACGAGCTCCCGGTTGTGTATTTTTGAAGAGGGGGAAGCCCTGACTGCACGACCACTTGATTGGTAGAGCCCAACACTGTCGGAGCTTAGTGAAGGAGGCGAGCAGCCAGTCGCGGACACTTTCGGAGAGCACTGCACGCGGTTCGTGCCCAAGGCCACGACGCTGTACTATGCCACTGGGCGGGATGAGGCACATGTGAAAAAGCTCAAGTGGACAAGCCCAAGTCGGTACTCCCCGCCTTTTTGGAGCTTTGCGTAAATATTTGATCAATTTCTTCATGTCTCTTTCAGCCATTTCCTGGGCTACAGCTTCTGGAATGGCCAGCCTACCGGCGCGCACGTAATCGGCCTGCCTCGCCTGGAGCTGGGGCCAGTCCACTTTTACTGCCTCCATTCCGCCATCCCCCCCATGAAGTCCCCAGAGATCCAGCCATTCTTCGGAAGTAGGAAGACTGCCCCGGATTTTCGAAAAGTCCCGCCTCCGTGATCCCCTCGTTCCCCCTGCCAGGAGTAGAGATAGATTATGTACTCGTGCGATCTTTCTCTGATTCCACGCCTCGTAAATTTCTTCAACCAGTTTGTCCTGTTGAGCTCGACGTTGTTTTCCGAGAATGTTTCTGCACTGTTTGTCAACTACTTTCAACTGTGCGAGCACCCGGTCCAACTCCTCCCCGCCGGACCGACCCAGCGTTTCACGAAGGTGGCGGCGATGGCACAAGAGCTCCTCGCGCTCCTGGATATACTTCTGGCGATCGGGGTCCTTCCGGCCCGCCGCGAAGAACATCTGCCCTGCCTCCTGAAGGACCTTGTTAAGTTCCTCAAACATCTTATCAGAGGTGGTCGCCTGCCTCATCTCCTCCAACTCCTCCCCCTTGGACTCCAAAACTTCCGTGACCTTGGCCAGAAAATCTTCTCGTTGAAGGGACCCCACCACCCCCTGCATCAGGGCATCCTTATCCCACGGAATGCGTTCCATCGGGACTCCGTCAGGTCCCACTAGGACCGGTTGTTTTCCCCCTGGGTGGAGCGGAAGCCGAAGAACAGCGTGTACTGGAACATGGTCCCGGGGCTCCTTACACGAGATTAGTTGTAGCCGGCGCGCCATCCGTCTCAAGGCACCACTACTCTGGAGCAACGGCACCATATTCCCAGGAATAGCTAGATGAGGAGGAGGAGGAGGAGGAGGAGGAGGAGGACCCTCGGCCCGGCAGGGGAGGCGCAGCGCTGTGGCGGGCGGCCCCACCCCGGATGTCTGCTGCGCCTGCCTGGACCGCAGGACGGGCGGTTGGGGGACCGCTCCCTCGACTCCCTCGGCTCCCATTCCCTGCCCCTCGTCACCGTCGTCCTCGCCCTCCCCCCCCCCCTCAGAGGAGGACCATGTGCCCTTGCCTCCTTTTCCCCTTTTGGGGCCTCCTGGGAGGCCCTCGTCGCCACCGCTGGATTCGCCTCGAAATTCTGGTCAGAACGCCCCTTGGGAGAGGTCCGGGGAATAGCGGTATCAGTACCTTTTGGTTTCCCCACCGTCCTTCTCCCCCCGTTCTCCCTCCCACGCGGTCTCGCGCTCCACGGCCTCTCGAGGACCGAGGCCAAGACCTTGGGACGGCAGGTAGAGGAGAGGCGGAGTGTAGGGGAGGTCGACGAGGATGAGCTCGACCTCCTGCTCCCCGCCCAGCTCGTTTGGGTTTTTGCATGCGAATCTGGTCGTGGGCGTCCCACTCCCCCTCTCCCTGCCCCTCTCCCTTCCCCTCCCTGGGGTGGGCGGGGCCTTCTCTTCTCCAGGGCGCCCGCGGGCAACTGAATTGCGCTCTGTATGGGCTCGTAATCTCGTAACGTCCCCCACCTCCCCCTCCATTCCTCCTTTGTGCCCCCCTTTTTCCCCGCAGTTGTTCCATCATTCCGCTCTCATCACCGCTCCTTTCCTCCCTCCTCGTGCTCCCTCTCCCGCTACCACCTCATCCGCCATTCCCCCTCATGTGCATTCCGTCCCATCTCCTTCCCTCGTCCCCTCTCTTCACCTTCTCGTTCAGCTCTCCTCTTCCACCTCAGCTCGTCTCCCCTATCTGCCATTGCACTCCCACTCGCGCGCCGGATGCTGTATTAGTGGCCGAGGTTGACAGTTGTCGGTTGTGGCGCCGAGGCGAATCGATTAGAGGAGCGTCCAGTAACGGTGACGCCCAGAGGGGAGAGCACTTCCGATCTATTCGTGGCCCAGGAATAAATAGATGCACACCGCGACACCTTGCAGCCAGTTCACTGCTGTTGCGCAGCAGTGCCTTTCCGACAATCGCATTCTGCAGCGCAGAAGTTTAGGCTCTTGCCCATTCGCAAGCAATTCGCCATGTACCCGATCCAGTCCAGGACGTTTCCCAAAACAGTGCTTGCCAGTGAGGTCCTTACTTGTGCTCTTAGAAACTGGCTGGCAGTTCCAGACTCTCGCCCTTGTGCCTGCCCGTTGCCGCCTCGTGGATGCCTCTCGTGCTGGCTAGCGGTTCCAGACCTTCGTCCCGTGCCCGCCACTGGCGGCTTCGAATGCTGGCTTCGGTCCCGGGTTGTCGCCTCGAGTCCGCCTCGTAGCCGCCTCTTGCGTTGGCTGGCGTTTCCAACCGCATGCATGGAATGCACCACACAGCTTGCACCAGATAGATTGTACAAGAAAGTGTAGATTGCGCTCCCTGTTCTGCGTCCCGTAGGCTCTCTTCCCCACAGACAAATTATCTCTACCATCCCTTCAGCCACTGACTTACCAGCACCACCCAGGGTACCGCAAATTACGTATGATTTCCCCTTGTCGTTCATGTTCCGTATGAACTCATACCATCCCAGTCCAAACAATTGCAACCCGTGCCCCGCAGGGTTTCGCAACAGAAAAACATTGCACGCACACTCGTTAATCGCAAACGTTAATTCGTCAAAAGCCCCATGCAACAAATTTCGTAAAGGCCAGACGCGCGCACTTGTCGAACACATAGTACGCACCCGTGATACAAGCATTCCAACATGAAATTACCAAACACATGTTTCCTTTGTTTCCCTACAAAGTTTGAGGATGTGTTGCCCGCGCGCACTTGCTGAAACCATGTGAAAACTAGATGCGTATAACATTCTCGCCCCAAACCAACAGTCTCATCCCACCACGCGGTGCACCAGCATTAATCCGAGATGCGCCGAGTGCGCGAATCCTTTCGGGCCAGGCGCGTGATCTGAATGGTCTGGTTGGCCTGGGAGCCAGGGGCTTAAAGGGTCGGCTGGGCCTGGGATGGAGGAGTTTGATTGGGGAGTCGGGCCTAGTCGCGGGAGATTTGCCTGGGCAGCTTGGCCTTGGGGCGATGGATTTCAATCGGCAGGCTGAAGTAAAAGCCGGTGATTTGAACGGGCGGCAAGGCTTGGAACAGGGGGGTTTGATTTTGTGGTCGGGCCTGGGAGCAAGGGATTTGATTGGACAGTTTGGCGTAGAAACTAGAGGTTTGAACGGGCGGCGGGGACTGGGGACTGGGAAGCAGTGGATTTGAACGGGCAGCGGAGCCTGTGCTTTAACGGGCGGCGGGGCCTGGAAACAAAGGGTTTGAGAAAGCAGCATTGCCGCGAAAGGTGGCATTTTAACGGGCGACGCGGCCAGGGAGCAGAAGATTTGAGTAGGCAGTCTGGCATGGAATCCGAGGATCGGGCACTGGTGCCTTGGATAAAGGAGTTCGACTGAGGAGCAGGGCTTGGAAGCATGTAGGACGGTAGCCACCCGTTCAAATCCCCTGCTTGCAAAGGCCCGACTGCCCAACCAAGCTCCCCCATTCCAGGCCTCGCCGCCCGCTCGGACCCCTTGTTTCCAGGCCAGATTGCCGATTCAAGCAAGCCCCCTGTTTCCAGGCCCCACCGTCCGTTGAAATCATTTTCTTTATTTCATGTTCCGCCTCCCGTTCAAGTCCTTCGTGGGTTCCAGGCCAGAGCCTACTCACCCCCCCCGGTTCCAGGCCCCACCGCCAGCTCAAATCCCTTGCTTTCAGTTCAGCCTTCAGTTTGAAATCCCTCGCCACCATACCCCGCCGCCCGTTCAAATCACTTGTTGCGAGACCAGACTGCCTCATCAAATCCGGCGCTTCCAGACCCCACCGCCCGTTCAAAATTCCTGCTTCCAAGCCGGGCTCACCCATCAATCTCCTGGGCCATCTTGGACGCTTCAATCGGTCCTGGGGCGCCCCGTCCAGGTCCAGGGGATGGGGGTAGGGGGGGAGGGATGAATCCCTCCCCAAAGGAGGGAACACGCCAGCGCGGCCTGTGACCCGCGCTGGGACGGTACCATCGATAAGCGCCATCGCGGCCGCATCGGCTGTGCCAAGCCAGCTGGCCGCTCTGCGCGCTACCTTGCGCGCGCCAACGCGGCTGCAGAGATGCGCCAGGTATGGCCAAGCAGTCAGCACAGTCAGCGCGGCACGGGCTTTGCAAAACAAGTTGCGGATGGGAGGGTGGGATGGTTGCGCGAGCAGTGGAGTTGACAACTCACGGGCGGATAAACACTAATTGCACGTCGTAACGTACATTTAGTAGTTTGCGTTCCGCTAGTTTTACTACGTGTTCATGTACGCAACACATACGTATACACAAAGTTTGCAGCACTTGTACTGGGTCCAAAACATTGCACCACATGGATTGCATCGATTGCGCTGCATAGATTGTACCATATACGTAGATGAAGCCATAGCATGTAGCGCATAAATTGGGCAGTGTAAATTGCAGCACACACGCTGCACTGAATACATTGCGCCGCGCTTCTCGCATGGCATGAGCAGTTGCACCTGCAGACTGGGCCCTTCAACAAGCGCTTTGCCTCCACCTTTTGACGCGATCCCCTCCTCGCTCTCGCTTTCGCCTAGCGAGGGGGGGCGTTGCTGTGAGAGGGGGGGGCGACGTGCAGAATGTGCCGAAGCTTCCGTGTCTCGGCGCGCAGCGGGACATGCGGCGGCGGCCTGGTTTTGGTACGCACGCCCAGAGCGAAGCGTGCACTCGCCGTCTTCTCGCCGCCTGTTTTCTCGTCGTCTCCTCGCCGGTGTCGGCCGCTCGGAGCGCGCTGGCCTCGCAGTCTGCACAGGAGGGGCAGCAGCCAGACCGGGGCCCTCCCCTGTCCTCTTCTTCCTCTTCCTCCTCTTCTTCCTCCTCCTCTATCTTCTCGAAGGCGCTTCGCATTGGCATTGAGAGCGGGGGAGCCCGAATCCGAAGCATCCTCGGAAGCATGCTCTTCCTGTGCGTGCGCGTGTGCGGGGCAGTCTTCACGTTCTGAGCGCCGCGTCTGCCCGCAAGTCTCTCTCTCTCTCTCCTCCCGGCCCCCGCCTCCGCTTTGCCGCTGCGCGTCCCGACCTGGGCCTGCCCGTGCCGTGCGGTCGCCCGCGCCGCGACAGGAAAGTGCTATGTGTGGCCTGAACCGCAGCAAATGTCGGCGGCGAGCTCGGGGGGTAAGTGAGAATGAGAAGGTCTTCTCAGAGGGCGGCGGGACTTCTCAGAAGCTCTCGCACCTTCTGAGAGGTTGTTTGCGTCTTCGGGGAAGGCTCGGAAAACATCTCAGAAAACCAGGGGGCTTCCGAGATTTCTGAGAAGGCCCGCCCCTTCTCACTTCCCCCCGGGCCTGCCGCCGAACATGTGAGGGGTGTCGTGGAGTGCTGGAGAGGTCGGGGAGGGCCGTGGGTAGGGCGGGCGACGAGTCGCAAGCGCAGGCAGTCAGAACAGCACGCACCAAGTAAATGTAAGGCGCGGCGGACACACGCAGACATACACAAAAGACAAGCAGCGACAAACGCATACACATTAAAACGGGCAGCGACAGGCGTGGTCACATCAAGGCGAACAACGGCGGTGCAAATGTGGCGTCTGGATCCGCACGACGAAGAATCATCTAAAGACCCGACATGATGACACTCAGCATCTCGGCCGCTCGCCTGCATCTTCTCCCGGGGGGCAGTTCCAAGGGCGCCTCACCATCAGACCATACGACCGCATTCCAGCAGGCGCTTGCGCTCGCCAGCCATAAAGCAGCCACCGAAAGCAGCAGCAACAGAAAGCAGTTGCCAGCCGTGGGGGTGCGAGGAGGGGCGCTCGCGGCAGCGACGCGGCCATGGCCGGCCGCCCCGTTGCGCGCTCGCGGAGGCTACGGCTGCTGGCCGCGCTGCCACCGCTCGCGCTGCTGGGCCGGCTGGCGCTCCAGGTGCCCCAGCCGCCTTGCTGGGTGCGGGGCGCGGCGATCGCCCGCGGCCGTGGAGAGTGCGGGCCGCTGTCGCGGGCTGCCGCCGGCGGTGCTGGCAGCGGTCGCCCGGGCGCGCCCGAAGCTTGGGGTCGGCACGATCGAAAGGAACGGGGAAGCAATCGGGACGAAGACCGAGGAATCGCTGTCGGTTTCGCCGCGGACGTTGTGAACATTGAGGCAACACGTCGCTTGCCCAACAGCGGCCGCTGTCGGTGTAAGACAACACTGTTGTTCGAACCCGCTTCGGGCTTGCCAGGACTTGTGGGGGATGATCATCCAGAGGTGGGATCAGAGAACGAACCATGCTGGATGCTCACATGTCCTTTTTCCAGTGAGGGCCGCTCGGGGCGGCTCTCCTCTGCCCCCACCTCTGCCCCTATCCCACCTGCACGTTCCCCCGGGAAGCGGATGCAGAAAGCGGTGGGCGGCGCCCAGCAGCAGGCGTCGTCCAAGGCCGACAGCGGCCGCCGCTGGGCGGGCGGCGCTCGCGCCAGGCGGGCAGCGCCCGCGGCAGCACTCTCGGACAGCGGATGCTGTTCAGGTGGGGGCAAGGGCTGCTGTCACTCGTCGCCCCCATCCTTTGCGTCCCAATGTCGGTCCCCAGAGGTGCTGGTACGAGCTCCAGCCGCAAGAAGGTCGTAATCATAGGAGCTGGCTGGGGCGGCCTCGGAACGGCGCACAAGCTGTCCAAGGATCCCAACATTGACGTCACTGTAGTCGACGCGGCGCCGCGTCCTGGCGGCCTGGTGAACGATGGTTTTCAGACTCCGGGAGGCCGCCCGATGGAGGCTGGCATCCATGGTTTCTGGGACGAGTACGACAACATCTTCAAGCTCGTTCACGAGGAGCTGGGCCTGAGCGGCGATCAGGACCCCTTCACTGGTTACGAGGAACAGGGGCAGTACAGTCCCCAGGGGCTGGAAGCCGTCTGGCCGATCTACCGCGATCAGCCCAAACTGCCCACAGGACTTGGACAGGCTCTCTTCACCCGGTTCACGAATCTTTCGCCTTTGGATCGTGCCACCGCCGCACCGTTGATCTTGGCCTTCAGCGAGTTCGACGATTCCCCTGAGGCTTGCGAAGTTGCACGAAGCCCGCGCGGACCCGGCCAGCCTAGGCAGGGGCAGGGTCGGCCCGAAATTTGGCCTCGGCATGGGCCGGCCGGGCCCGGATAGTTTTCGTGCGCCCTTTGTTGAGGCGTGGGAGAAATTCGACCGCATGTCTTTCAGGGATCTCTGCTCCAAGCTGGGAGTGTCGCGCAAGCTTTACGACGAGGCCTTCGAGCCGATGATCCTCACGGGGCTGTTTGCGCCTGGGGAGCAGTGCAGCGCCGCTGCCGCGCTGGGCTTTGAGGGGCTCAACAGCCCCGACCTCGCACAGACCCTCTCCACCCCCCTTTGTGCCTTTGGCTCCCCTCCAAAAGGCCGCCCGAAGTTGCACCCAAGCCTTTTGCAGGACCCCCGAGGTCGGGTTCAGTGAGGTCAGGTCTAGTGGTCAAGTTTCGGTCGCCAGGCATGGCGTATTTCTTTGTGCTGAAGGGGCAGAACGCATTCGACGTCCGCTGGTGCCGCGGTAACGTCGGCGAGAAGATCTTCCAGCCTTGGGTGGGGCAGATGGAGGAGCGCGGCAACGTCCGCTTCTGCTCTGGCTGTCGTGTCGCAGACGTCATCGAGGCCGAGGGTGGCGGCCAGCTGTCCGGCGTCCAGTGCCGGAACACGACGAGCGGCGAGGAGTTCTGTCTCGAGGCCGACGAGGTTGTCTTCGCCGTCGGCATGGGCGCTCTGAAGGCCATGTCGCGCTGGCCAGTGCTGGCGAAGCACCCAGAGTTTGCGCGCTTCGGGAATCTGAGGGGAACAGACGTGCTCGCCACCAGGCTGTGGTTCGACCGCGACGTGCAGACGCCATACTGGGCGAACCCCAGCTGGGGATTCGACGAGGGCGTCGGCATGGTCTGGTTCGACGTGAAGCGCATGCACGCGCCGACGCATGACCATGAGCCTGGCGCTGTGATCGAGATGGACTTCTATCACGCGGGATCGTTGCTGCCCCTTAGCGACGACGCGCTCGTGGAGAAGGTCACCGCGCAGCTTCGCACCATGGTGCCTGGTTTCGGGGGCGCGAAAGTGGTGGACGCTGCCGTGGTGCGACTTCCCGGCGGCGTGAATTGGTACTTCCCAGGAACCTACCGACATGCTTCGTTCCGAAATGCTTGGCATCGCTCGGACGTGCGCATTTTGTTTCGGGGAGGACCATCGGGGAGCATCCTGGATCATCATGCAAGAAAAAAGCACGGCGAAGCCGAAACATGTGCGGGGAATGGACGTCCGAGCGATGGCAAGAATGCTCAGGACTGCTTCGTTCCGAAAAGCTCCGGGCTGCTGCGTCCCAGCCACGTCTCACGATTCTGATGAAACAGCCGGACGTGTCCATAGTTTCAGCGAGGCGAGCTTCGCTTGGGATTTGTGGGCTTCGCGCTCCGTGCGATTGAAGAGAGAAAACACATCCCAGGATCCTACCGCAGCATGCCGGAGACCAAGTCCTCGAGCTTCAGGAACGTGCACTTTGCTGGTGATGTCGTGCGCAGCCGGCACGGCAGCTGGAGTCAGGAGAAGGCCCGGGGCAGCCACGGGGGATGCCGATACCGCTGCTCCGGGCCTCTCTCCGAGCGGTGCGCTCCGACCAGGATTCTGGGGAGAAGCCGCCCGTGGCGACGGGCGCTCCCTCTGGGAGGCCCCGCACAGGACGCAAGCGAGGGAAGCTGCGAGCGCCAGGATCCCGCAAAGCGCAAAGGTGTGTGTGTGTGTATGAGAGAGGGAGGGAGAGAGAGAGAGAGAGGGAGGGAGAGAAAGAGAGAGAGAGAGAGAGAGAAATATTCTTTTTCCCCCTCCCTGCGGCCGCCCGCTCCGTCCCTCCTCCCCCCTTGCACGCTGGCCAATTCGCTACAGCGGGGCCCACCTTTAGTTAGCCTCTTCCGCCAGCGCAGACGACCCCTGCTGTGAGTTCGATCGGTTTTTGCACCGAACCGCCCAAAACCGATGCCCCCCAGCCGCCGGCAGCTCCCGATGCCCCCCAGCCGCAGGCAGCTCCTATAGGTGGGGCATGCGGTGGGCATCTGTGTGCGGCAGTTCTGTGCACCAGCGGATCGAACTCATGCCACCCCTCAGGGTCACCATCCCTTGATGGTGGACCCCAAGAGCGGTATCGGTATGCGCTCATGGCCTGAAGTCGAGGACCCCTTGGCGCGCGCACCGCGCCAGGGGCAGCGGGGTCCAGCGCCGATCCAAGGAATTCGCGCGGACCTCCGAAAGGGCATTTCAATGAACAGGAAACGACAGAAGACAACGGGGTCGACCGCGCGGACATTCTCCCGTGAGCTTCTCGCGTGAGGTCACCCGTAATATCCCCCTTCTCCACGCGATGTGCCACATTGGCGGCCCGCGTGAGCCGTGGCGGAGGGTCGCTGTGTCTTCTCGGCGTCAGACCCGTTTCTTTCTCGGCGAGCGCGTGTTGCATTTCTGCGGTCGGCGGCGAGCCCCAGGAGGAAGTGACAAGAAGCAGGCCTTCTTGGAAGGCGGCGCGGCTTCTCGGAAGCCCCCATGGACTTCCGAGAAGTTGGCCGTAGTTTCGCAGAAGGCTCGCAGTGCTCCTCAGCAGGCGCGAGGACTTCTGAGAAGCCCCGCCGCCTTCCGAGAAGGTCTCCCCCGTGGGCTCGCCGCCGCATTCTGCCCCTTCTTCTACGGAGGCCTACGTCAGCGGCGTTGAGGCCGCTAACGCCATCCTCGGCCGCGACGCGTGGCACGGCGTGGAGCTTAGTGGGCACCGGAAATGGCAGGGCCGTTTCTCACCGTTTCCGAAAAAGTATCTCGTGAAAATGGAAGCGGCGAAACAACGGCGACGGGAAACGGCAAAAAGCGGATCCCGGAATGGAGCCGGAGCCGGAACCAGAAAGAAAACGGCGACTGAACCGGCATCAGAAACGTTGTCGGAAGCGGCAACAACACGGAAAACGAAACCAGTACAAAACAAATGGCCCCGTCGTTTTCAGGGCCCACTGAGGCGTCGAGCGCCTGCGGTCCGACGAGCCGCACGTAGCGGCGGGCAGGGCGGCCTCGCGGCTGCTGCGCGCCGTGCTGGGCGGCGGCAGCCCGGCGCGCGGGCCCTCGGTGGCGGACTTTTCCGGGTGGGAGACGGCTGGGGGCCTTTCGATAGCAAGTCATGGGGTCCTGCTGTGCCTCGCAGTTCTTGTTCTCAATGTTGTGGGCCTCCTGGGAGGCCCTGGTCAGAGCGCACCCCAGAGGAGGTCCGGAGAGTACCGGTATCGGTAATTGCCTGTTGGTTTCCGCAAATTTCGTCTTTAGAGTGCGCTCGCGTCGATTCTGGCCTCCCAGATGGGGTCCGAGTAGATTTAAGTCGGGCCTGTCCCTCTACAGGAGGAAGATCCAAAAAGTAGTTTAAAGTAGTAGGGGTACGTTTTTTCCTGAATTTGTTGATCATTGTTTAAAACATTCTTGGATTATTTTTTCCGTTCAAAATCCGCTTGTAGGAGGACATGCCCGACCTAAGAGTAGATAGGGTCGGCGGATCGCGCCGTATCGCCGATGCGGCATGATGCGGAGGCCGATTTTCTCTACGCCGACGTCGCCGATGTATCGCCGCTACATCGCCGATGCCTCGCCGATGCACCGACGATGCATCGACGATGCAGCTTGATCCTCCGACCCCATCTACTCGGACCCCATTTGGGAGGCCTCTATGTACCTCGCAATTCCGTCTTTAGAGTGCGACAGCGTCGAGTATCGTTTGGTAATCGATGAGACAGCGCCGCTATAGCGTCGATCAGTATCGATTGGCGTCGATTTAGCGTCGATCAGAAGCGTCGATTCGCAGGAGCCAGCAAGATGGTATGGGAGGCTCCCATCAGTTCTTCAGAAGGGTCTGAGGTGACCCAGCAAGGTCTTTCGGACGCCAGGGATGGCTACGGAAAAGATGGCTGCAATGCCCAGCAACAGTTGTTGTTTAAAACCAACAGCGGCCGCTCTTGCAGGCGGTCTTCTGTCTCAAGTGGACGCCGTCCGTGGCGATATCGACAGCGAGTCCTGTTCAAAATGAACAGGAGATGTTGTCGGTCTGCTTGCCCATTATTTCTGTACCCATTTCGATCGTCCGAATGGTTCTGGCGAGCAGGCAGCGGTGGCGTGGTCTTAGCTTCTGGGTTCGAGGAGGTCTTTTTCCGGTTTCGGCTTCTTGGGGCCGTTTTCGGACCCCGGGACAATCGAAATCGGATTTGGGGCTGCGCCGGAGGACCAGACGAACCCCAGAGGGGTCTTGGAACCAATTCTGAGCGAATGTGCCTTCATCACCCCCCCTCTTGACCGATCGTTTTTGGGCCCAGCCAGCTCAGACGCCCCAGCCGCCTCCAATTTCAAGGCCTCTCGAGTGGGGTCGGAGTAGATGGGGTCGAAGGATCGCGCCGCAACGCAGATGCCATTGGCGATTCGGCTCGACGTGGAGCCCGATCTTCTCCACGACGGCGTCGCCGATACATCGCCGACGTCGCCATGGCAGCGCCAATACATCTGGCGTTGCATCGGCCATGCGGTGCAGTCCTCCGACTCCATTTGCTCGGACCTCAGTAGGGAGGCCTCTGCAGGTGGCGGACTTCCTGTTCTGACCGGTTGAGCCACTGGCAGGTCTGCGCCGCGCTGGCCCCCCCCCCGCACCCCTACTGGTCACTGGTCGAGTCTGAGATCGATTAAAACATTAGGTAACCCCAAACTTGAAATTGTCGTCGAATTGACGGAAATTACGCTGAATGTTCGTAGGTCTACGACCATGTCTACGCATTTCTTCGTAGATTCGACGAGGCAATCAGTTATGGGGAAAACAAATCTATAGTCGATCTCTTACTCGAACTGGCAGGTTTGCGCCGCGCTGGTGGTGGAACGAACGGGGGGGGGGGCCGAGGGTTGCAGGAAGGTGGCCCGAAAGGAGCCCCTAAGCTGCCTCCACCACCACCACAGAGCCGGGCATCCAGAGGGACGCGTGGGCAGAAGAGTGGCCGATTGGCAACTCTTCGGTAAACAAGGAGTGACGCCGCAGAGTGGCTGCATGCGCGCTCATACACTCATACACGACTGCACGCGCGCTTTGACACGACTCTGCGCGCTTAGACCCTAAACTGTGTGGGCCTCCCAAGCAGGCCCCGATTAGATGGGGTCGGAAGATCGCGCCGCGTCGGCGATGCGGCGCAATGTGGAGCCCGTTCTCGCCACGCCGACGTCGCCGATGCCTCGCCGACGTCGCCGATGCATCGCCGACGTCTCCGACGCATCGCCGATGCATCGGCGATGCGGCGCGATCCTCGACCCCATGCACTCGGACCCCATTTGGGAGGCCGCTTGACTGCCACCCCGCGTCCGAAGGTGCCGGACAGGTGCTCGTTTCTACACCCCCTTGTCTGTTTCCCCTTGTTAGTGAACGCCCGAGACGCGGCGGCGACCCGCATTCACCATGCAGCACGCGGATCCAGAGGGGATATGGGTCCTGAGGTGGTTCTCCGTTTTCGGGCGTTTCTTCCATACCAACCCAGCACGAGCCTTCGAGGTTGAGCGCCAAGCCTGGGATCGGCCGGTGTCGAACGAACGGCGCTGCCGCGGAAAGACGTGACAGTTGACGATTGATCGACCCACGAGGTGTCGGAAGCCAGCGCTGGCGTCATCGCGGCGTGGCTTTGGTGCCGAGGGGGCCAGCAAGCCGCATGGACATGGACGTGCGTCCTCATCCGTGGGAAGCTGTGCCCAGGGCCAGCGTTAGGGACCCACGCCCGTGACCACTGCTCGGGACTCCCTCGCTCAGTTCGACTTTTCTGCTTCGGTCCGATTTGATTTCGATGGCTTCCGATTACGAGTCGATTCCGTTTCGGATTCCGATCCGGATTCCGAGTTCGTAACGGTGATTTTCTAGCTTGCTGATTTTTGCCGAGTCGATTCATCCCGACTCGGCTGCCGATTTCCGCCGATCCGATTTTTTGCGATTGCCCATCCGACTCATCGATTCGACTCTAGGCTCGCCCGCCCGTTCTCTTACAGTCAAGACGTTGGACCAAGGACCACTTCGGGCTCAGACGGGTGTCTGGCTTTTCGGGTCTCTTCTTCGACTGTTCAAAGCCGAGGCTCGCCGCGGACAGGGAAGCCACTTCGTGCCTTCTTCTTGCGAAGGCCCTACGGCGAGTGCCGCCGACCCTGAAGGGGGACGTCGACGACGACGACGACAACGTCAACTGCGACGAAAGCAACCATTCAAACATTGCAGGAAAATCATTGACCTTACCCTCTTGAGGTCGTCTTGGGAGTGGTCTTGGGGCTCTATTGGGCCTCTTGGGAGCCTCATGGGAGCCTCTTGGGGCGGAAGGCTCGCACGCTCTCGGGAGCCTTTTGGGGCGCTCCTTCTGGCATCACGACGGCTGCACAATCGAAACAGATGGTAAGGATGGGTAACCTTCCCAAGGGTACCCTTGCAGCCATTCCCTTCGGCCCATCCATCCTTGACCTCTTTCGCTGGCTGTGCCCCGCTCGAAAAGTGCCAGTATTGCCTTCCAAGACCCTTGCATCCCTCTCGTTCATCCTTGCTATCAATTTCTCCTTACGATCAGCTTTGACTGTAGGCTCGAGGTTCGATGCTTTCGGTTTCGAGGTTCGAGGTTTTCTGGCGTTCTCGTCGTGTCTCGTCGATTCTCAAGCAGCCGCGCCTCTTCGAGTGCGTTCCAGGCTTGCCAGGTTCATCCCCAAAGGCCGCCGTTACAACCCGAGAACTAGAACACGATCGGAGCAACGTTAAGGGGTGGTGGGCTCAGGGGTGTTGCATTGACCCCTTGTCGCCTATCGATCGCCGATAGGGGCCCGACAGCCCACCTCGCCGCAGCGTGCGGATTTGCTATCGGAGGACTATCGCCGATCTATCGGCGATGCGTCGCCGATTCCAGCTAGATGCTTCCCCCCACGAGCCGGTCCCCCCGATCGCCGAAGGCCAGGCGCAGTCAGGGGTGTGGGGAGGGGGTGGGTCTGGCGATAGTGAAAGTAAAGCCCGAAGTGTTGGAGCCTCCTGGCGGCGCCAGAGAGGCGCCGCCCCTGGCGCGCTCCGCGCACCAGGGAGTGGGGTCCAGCGCCGATCCAAGAAATCCGCGCGGACCTCCGAAAGTTCATAGTTATGGAATGTTCTGTTCCACGAGCTCTTGGAAGACCGCTGTCCGCGAACGTCTAAAGCTTAGGGCTGTGTGGCTTTCTGGCCCCAGGCGGCCGTCGAGTTCCTGTCACCTCTCGGGCCGCAGTGCTTCGGCCGCGACCTTTGCCGCCACAGCTGGGCAGGCCTTCGTGTACAGCTGGCCCGGAGGCAGCGGGGAGTAGGCATCCATTTTGATTGCCCTACCGTTGTTGCCGTTTTCCGCTGGGCCTCCGTGCTGGCAGTTTGTGGCTCTTCTTTCCTTCTCCGTCGCGGAGCAGAGCGCATCCTTACGACCAGAGATTTTCGATGCGAGGCTCGACCATACCGAAACAAATTGTATTAGCTTGCGAGAGTAGCTTGAGAGGGGGACCGCGGCTGTGGACGTGGAGGGGAAGGGAACGGGCAAGGACGCGGTGGAGCGGAAGGAGGGAGGTCAGGAACTGGACCGGCGGCGAGACCGGATGGGAAGTGCAGTTTGAGAAGGCCGGAGCGCTTCTGAGAAGTCCCGCCGCCTTCTGAGAAGGCCTTCTCCTTCTCACTTTCCCCCTTCGCTCGCCGCCGACTGGAGGGGTGAAGGCATGGGGTCGGAAGGGGCGAGGGGCAGGGGACGATACCGAACGGGGGGGTGCGGCAAATGCTGCATGCGGCCGGTTTCGGCCCTGCCGTCAGACATTTTCCTCGATACGCCGTGGGGGAAGCGGGTTCCGAGGTCACGGGTCCTGAGGTTCTTCGCCTTTCTCGGGTTCTTTGGGCCCTCCAGGGGCCCCGGGCGACTCGTTCGAGGACGGGGTGGTGGTCTCTTGCAGCGCGGCGCGCTCCCGCCGGAACGGCTGGCCCATGGGGCGCCCGTCTCTTCAACGACTCAGGATGGAGAACGCGTCCTGGGGCAGGCCCCAGGGTCCCGGACCCGTTTCCCGCAAGGCCCGCTTCCCCCGTGCTGAATACATCAGCGCCTCGGGCGCTGACATCAGCATCGTCAAACCTATTCTCATCCCAACTGGGTCATGATATCTCAGCCCCATAAGCGAACTCTCCCAGGTTGAGATAGGCCCAGCGGGACCGGAAGGAACAGGCATAGAGGATCCCAGGTCGAGGGTTTACAGGCCCCTTTTTTGAGTCCATTAGGCACGTATCGCTCATTCGCCTGACAGATTCGTCCTTGGAAGTCGGTGTTCGAATTTTCTTCCGGCGCCTCTTCCCGTGACAGGTGATCGCAGTTAGCGTGGAGTGATAATTGTGTACACAGATGTTGGCCTAAGAACACGAGGCAATATTGGGCAACAGTGGAAACGTCTCTCGCCTGCTTCGTCGTAGTTGTCAGTCTGATCCTATATATCGCTTCCGTTCAGTAGCTTAACGTCGGCTTTTGATGCCGAGCGGCCGATAAGGAGATCAGTCTGCTGTTGTCCAGGTGGCGTGGCCGATGAGACTCGCTGTGCCACATACCGTTGCCAGCGCGATGATCTGTACGTTTGTCGTGATCTCGTTCGGGCCTGAGGAGGGCCTAATTTTGTGCCCCGGCACTCGCTGCACTTTGTGCTTGCTAATGGCAGCAGGATAGCGGAACCCCGGGAAACTCAGATTCGCTCAGGCCCAGTCAGAATACTTTTAACCAATCGCGGCTGTCGTGCGGGCAACCTTCCGATAGCCGAGAAGAGGTACCGCAGTTGACAACGCGACAGTGGAGATTGGAACAGGGGTTTCCGTAACCATTGCTGGCCCAAGCTACAGACGCCTCATTGCATTCTGAGGCCACCCTTGAAGAACCAATCCTGCTGGACATCATTCTCATCGTTGGGAATCCACCGCGCCACTTTGGCTGTGATCGGGAATGGCTTCCTCCAGTGCGGGCCGGGGGCCGGGTGATGCGATCGTTCGCTCCGCCGGACATTCCCGTATTCAGCCATGCGGGTTATGAACCCAAAATTGCACCCCAACGAAGGCATTTTAGGCTGTTTGCAGGCAAGCTTCAAAATCTGCAGCCAGATGACCTTCGAGCCCGCCGTGTGTTCAAATGCGGTGCATATGAGCCCCCCCGTGCGCTTGTGGCTCGAGAGCGTTCCTGGTGCATCTGGAGTGCGTTTCCAGTATTCTCAGAGACAGGAGAGCTGGAGACGCAGAGTCACTGACCAGATATTTACGTGGGAGTCACGACCCGTGGACGCCGTCGGGATGCGTTTTGCGATCGGCGTGGTCGTCGGCGGAGCCGTGGCGACGGCGGCACAGGCCGCGGCGGGACTCGCCCAGGGTGTAGTTCGAAGTGCAGTCGAGGTGGTTTAGACGCTGCTCGCTGCCGCCGTCGGCGCCCTAGCCAGCCCTGGCAGACGCATCGCCGCCACCAGAGCCACCGCCAGCTTCTCCGAGGATGAGACGATCGCTGGGCGCGCGCATAGCTGCTAGCTTGGCTTGCCGGAGAGCGAACCAGGGCCGCCGAACGCACCTGTACTCGGG